CCTCTGCTTAGGTCCCAGCTGCTACCCAGCACCCGTCCCCAGACAGGTGAGCAAGCAAGCTTCCTAATGATTACAGCTCCAACCATCCAGTCACCCCCACCCTTCAAAGCTTCCAGCTACGTCCCCAGACACCGTGGCACAGAGACAAGCACCCTGCTTGTCTCCTTCTGAATTTCTGCTTTCTGCTTTCCCCTTTCTGCATTCTTACCCACTGAATCTGTGAATGTAATAAAATGCTTGTGGGTTTATGTGACTCAAGTTTGGGATGATTTGTTACACAGCAGCGGTAACTGGATCAGTCAGCACGTGTTATTGAGGAGAATCTTCTTTCTCAGTGATATCTCTTTCCAGAACATGTCCAAAAGATGTGTGTTTATTACCCAGTAACTCCTTTCAGATTATTCATAATTGTTACTGTTTCCGTCAACATGATGACTTCCAAATCAAGAGTTATATTGTGGATCATCAGTTGTTCCCCCAAATAAAATAGTTTGCAGCTGGGCAATCAGGGGCATCAATTCGTACCCTCCACCACCCCCCCCCCCCCCCCCCCCCCCCCCCCCCCCCCCGCCCTCCACAATGAGGACTGTCTTCCCCCTTCCTCCTTCCCCTGCACCAGGACTGTCTTGTTTGGCTGGAACTCTAGAGCCATGTCCTCTGCCCCTTACACTGATTGAATTGTCAGCAGAGACAAGGCCAGCCTAATCTGTTGACAGGGAAGGGGAATGTCAAAGACCCTTTCTCTGCCCGTTTTGATCCGAATCCCTGCTTCTTTACTACGTAAGCAACACCTTCTGTTGCTCCAGACATAGCTGGTGCTTCTTCTGTCTGATTCTATGACACTTTCACTTCACATTGTGTCATTTAAAGAAAAAACCTAATTTTTTCAGTGATAAACAGAATCAAAGATGTCCAGCACTTCGTCAGGTGTGTAGGATACATCTACCAAGATTTTATTCATACACTGCACATGAGTGTTTCATGCAGGTATATGGCAGACACCTGCTAATTTTAACTCTTATTTGCAAAGTTGCATTTCTTAAGTTTGATGGTGGGTCCACAACAAGATTTGTTGTATCTTTTATTACATATTTCTATAGGTCTTAAATATTTAATAATATTCACACATACATGATAGTAATTAGTAACTACTCTTCTGGACTTTTGTCATTGATATCATGTGATGTCCTTTGGGGCCATAATGGAATTTTGCCAGTTTTTCATTCTGTTTGCCCTCCAACCAGCACACATAGGTCCAAACTTAGTGGATAACGTTACATGCTTCTCAGCTGTGTAATATTTTTACTTTAGAGTGTGTTTGCTCTAAGAAGTGCTTCTTAATGATGATGGTAGTCTTTCCTTGAGAGTTGAAATTATTACGATTTGCTCTGAAAAATCATTACTTTGTAGTATGCTTTCAGGGTGAGGAGGGGACAGTAGAAACATCACTGCACGAGATCTGTTTAACATCTCCTGTTCTGAAACAGCAGATATTCTGCATGAAAACATTATCTGGGTCCATTATTTTAAAGGAATAAATTTTAGTACCTTCTGCATCAAACTAGATCTACAACCAGTTTCCTAAAAAGTCCCTAAAATACAGTCGATTGTTAGTAACAAACTAACACGTGAAGATGAATTATTTAGAATGTTACTTCCAGATCGTCTTATATTTAATGTGGTTGTTAACAAGTACTTGCTTTGTATGCAGGAAAAGGTACATTTTGTATGATGTACCATAAATGTTGTGTTTATCACATGGGGTAACAAATGACGCACTCAACAAATAAAATATATTAGAAAAAATGCAGATGAAAATGTGCAATAAAAGCAGGCAATTCCCTGTCATGGACTATTGCCTAGTGAGGTAGAGACTTCGAGCTTGAAGAACAGTTAAGAATGGAGAAGAGGTGGGGCGCCTGGGTGGCTTAGTCGGTTAAGCGTCCGACTTTCGCTTAGGTCATGATCTCGCGGTTCGTGGGTTCGAGCCCCGCGTCGGGCTCTGTGCTGACTGCCAGCTCGGAGCCTGGAGCCTGTTTCAGTCTGTGGCTCCCTCTCTCTGACCCTCCCCTGCTCACACTGTCTCTCTCTCTCTCCTAGAAATAAATAAAAATATTAAAAAAAAAAAAAAAAAAGAATGGAGAAGAGGGGGTGCCTGGGTGGCTCAGTCGGTAAGTGTTTGACTTCGGCTCAGGTCATGATCTCGCGGTTCTTGGCTTCGAGCCCTGCATCAGGTTCTGTGCTGGCAGCTCAGAGTCTGGAGCCTGTTTCAGATTCTGTCTCCCTCTCTCTGACTCTTCCCCGCTCATGCTCTGTTTCAAAAATAAATAAAAACTATAAAAAATTAAAAAAGAATAGAGGAGAGGAAGAGACATTTTTTTTGGTTGATGGTTATGAAAGGACATGGGCTGGAGTTGGGTGTGAAAGAGGCAACTTCAGAGAAAATTGCAGAGGAAATAATAGAGATCTGTCATCATTCTGAGATTCCCACACTGACTCTCAACAGGAGGATTTAGGTTGAAAAAAATTGCAAGCTATACATTTGCTTTCTTCCTGCTGTTAAAGTTTGTAAATTTCTCTATGTGATGCTAAGAGGTTAGGTATCAGGGCATCATGACTGGTTGCTAAGTACCAGGAACCTCCCAAATATATATCTCCCACGTTGATTACACTGAGTCTGACGTCCTACTGATTGGACTAGGGATGTAACTCAAATGTTTCCATACATTGCTTTGTAAATATGGTGCATCAGCTCTGGGACAGAAATATACATCTGTCCATTATGAACAAAGGTGGCGATAAAAGCCAGGAGGATGTTTAGTAAAAAGAAGTTTTATGAGGCTTTATACCACCCTGGCATTTTCTTCATAACAAATAAGGTCCTGGGACTAAGGATGAGTGAGTCTCAGGCCATTACTTTACTCTTTCAGTCAACTTGTCCAACGTCATCCTGGTCTCCGATGGCCCGCCCCAGCACGGTCATTCGATAGTCGATCTATGTACTGGGTTCCTGTTACTTTTTCACATTTACAAATGTACTCTGAGTTATACTTATTTCATTGCTACATTTTAAAAATACTGGCCTACTTCTGTAATCATGCTAGTAATGATATAGGTAACTTTAATAAATTGAACATTTATATGTAGGGACAACTCCTGATTTGAGATGATCTGCTCCCATGTCCTGATGTCAGCTGAGACTTAAGAGAATAATTTTCACGTGGTACGTGTGCGATCCTGAAGAATATAACGATTATTAAGAACACAATAGGATTATTGGAAAACTCATAATTAACCTGGTCTTTCAAACCTCTTAGTGATATTACTCCCTTCCTCCAGAACTGCCTATTGTCTTGCTTATGACTTGATCAGCTGGGGACCACCCAGCCCGGGACTGTGAACCACACTTTGATGAGGACGCCTACTTCAATACCTATTTAGATTTAGAATTATTCTCTGTGAGAAATATCAGTGTGGTGCTCCATGCTGTGCTCACTAGTACAGCTCTTAATTTCCCATAGAATATTCTAACGCTCCCTATAGTGTGATTTTCCTATTTTGCTACCAATACTTATTTCAGTATATTATTTTCATCACAAGTAACTGGCTTATCTCTCTTTTTTTTTTCCAAGGGGGAAATGGAGGGTTTTTCCCCGCTTCTATTTTAGAGGGAAGAGGAAGGGGAAGTAGGAAGGGCAGAGAGAAAGAGAATCTCAAGGAGTCTCCATGCACACTCAGCACTGAGACAACTCGGGGCTCAATCCCATGACCCCGGGGTCATGACCTGAACTGAAATCAAGAGTCAGATGTTTAGGGCGCCTGGGTGGCTCAGTCAATTAAACGTCCGACTTCAGCTCAGGTCATGATCCTCATGGTCAGTGAGTTTGAGCCCTGCATCGGGTTCTGTGCTGACAGCTTGGAGCCTAGAGCCTGCTTCAGATTCTGTGTTTCCCCCTCTCTCTCCTCCTCTCCTGTTCACGAATGTCTCTCTCTCTGTCTCTCAAAAATGAATAAATTTTGAATTTGAATGAATTAAAAAATTTTTAAAAAAGAGTTGCACGCTCAACCCACTGAGCCACCCATGTGCCCCAGGAAATGGAATTTTTTAACTATAAAATGATTTTTGTCTCTAAAATGATTCAATTCCTTTTTTTAATGATTTGATGACTTTTGATAATGCCATGTGTTTATTTCATCTATTAAGTGGATACCAAGAGTTGTTTTTCTGAACTTCCAAGTAGGCCAATTCATTTGTATTAGAGAAACACGCTGATTTCTAGGGCTCCACGATAATATCAAGTCAGCTTTCCACCTTCCTTTTTTTTCTTTTTCTAATTTTTTTTAACATTTATTTATTTTTGAGAGACAGAGTGAGCATGAGCGGGGAGGAGCAGAGAGAGAGGGAGACACAGAATCCGAAGCAGGCTTCAGGCTCTGAGCTGTCAGCAGAGCCCAGCACGGGGCTCGAACTCACGGACCACGAGTTCATGACCTGAGCCGAAGTTGGACGCTTAACCAACTGAGCCACCCAGGCGCCCCATCACTTTCCTAAAGACACATAGAATTAGCCCTACATTATGACATACTTGGAATACGCTTAGAATTTTGAAATCAGACTGCGACTCCAATGTTACTGAAAAAGAAACTGAACATGAATGGCTCTCGGTAAATTGTGTCTCCGTGATGGCCTAATCTCATCGAGAGAGTTATCTCCTCAGTAGCTGTCAGTGCCCTTCAGTTAGACTGTGCTGGTTTCTTCTGCACTGAAACTACCCGCGGAGTCAAGTGGTAAAGTTTGGAAAACAGTTCAGTTTTAAGACTGTAAAGTTCTCCTTTTCAAAACACTTTAGTTTTTCCAGAAAATGTTTATCTCCAGCGTCTCCTCCCACCGCATCCTAGCGTTTTCCAAATCCCCCCATCTCTTCTTACACATCTATTTGTCTTTCTGGTGGACGCCACGTTTGGAAGTCTCATTAAACCAGCATCTGTTTCTCTTTTAGGAGAAACCTGATGCCAGCCCCACGTCACTTCAGCTGCGGTCTCAGATCGAAGTAAGCACAATGACTTTAATCATCTATTTTTGCTTCTGCCCTTTTTTTTTTTTTTAAGTGATATTCTGTACAAATCAGATGAAGCCTGCCACTCTGGCTTATGCTGACGCTGTGCCTCTTTTCTCCTAGGAGTCGCTTGGCTTCTGTAGCGCCGCGTCAACACCAGAAGTGGAAAGAAAGTAAGTTTCCCTCCTGCCCGGGATGGGAATTTGGAAGAAGGTGTCTCTTAGGTCCATCCTGATGGAAGTCAAATGGGTGATCATGTTGTGTATGTGCTGTGGGACATGATGTCATTTTCCTTGCATGGGGTGTATGTGTGTGTGTGTAGGTGGATAAGAATGTGTTTTGTAATTTAGTTGCTGATGCCTCACGATTCTGCAGAGTTATTGGCTTCACACTGCTTGTTGTGAGTGAACCCTAAATAAATACCTGGAAATGGGCAGACAGAAAGGAAGAGGACAGCGAGGTCCCCCAAGATGGGGTTTCTTCTTTTACGGCAGTTTCCGGTACAGGATGAAAGTCCTAAGGAAGTACAGTACAAAAAAACCCAAATATTCTAGAATAAAACAGTGACCGAGAAACTCCTCTCCTGCACCTTGCTTTGGTGGGTGACCTTAAAACAAGAATAAATGTTTGTGACCAAGGACGGCAAATGCTCACTTACCTTTCCTGTTGAGGGTAATATTTTTACCTCTTTGTCCTGACTTGGACCCTATAATTTTTAGTCTCATGGAAGATAATTCTGTTATATCTTGTACAGCCAGTATTTCTTTTAGGCAACTTAAAAAAACCAAAACAAAGCAAATGTGGTTTCTTGTTGCTGTTGCTGTTTTGTTTTCTTTAACCTTTCCCCTTTCTTCTTTATTCCATCATAATTACACTAGAATGTTCTATTTCTGATCTTCTGAGGTAAAGAAATTTTAAGAAAGGGCTCATCTTTAATCAGACCCTTCCTTTGGTACAGAGCCACTTACACGGTTTTGTGCCAGGAGAAGCATAAAAGTGGTTTAGGAATAAAGTATTTCTGGAATGAAAAGCACACGTTGGGAGAGCGTGTGTGTGTGTGTGTGTGTGCCCTACAGCACAGCTCCGCCTAATCCATCCACGTGCATGCTGCTTCAAGGAAGGCAGGCTGTGTTGCCAAAGCTTCAGTTCTCAAGAGGCTAAGCAGATTTCATTCAGTCAGGACTGAGAGACGAACCAAGGCCTTTGCCCACTCAAGGTTAGAGGATCAATGTGCAGTTAACTCCAGTCCCCTTGGTTTTCACTGCATGTAACCCCCTAGCAACTTAGTGTGGAGGCAGAAGTAGCTTGGGGATTTGGGTTGACACTCATTTGGAAATTGGAGGTGCTATGGCTATAAATGAAGTTGAGTGTGGGTGGCAGCGCTGAGTTGATGGACTGGAGGTTCTTCTGACCTTGTTCGCTACCTATTTCCTCATGATTCAGGCGGAGAACTCAAGTGTTCTTTCAGAATCTGAGTCCTTCAGGAAACAAGAAATGTTTGCCTTTCCTCCTAAGAGGAAGTGACTCACCAGATTTGTACCAATCTTAGGCAGGCTGGATATTCTTCCCCTCAATTATGGGTAGTCATTCTTTCCGTGTTTATGTCCTTCACTTGGTAAAATGCGACATGGCTCTTGTGGCCAAGAGAGAGACTTGCAGACTTCTCTGAGGTTAACAAAACGTTTTGAACACACACACACACACACACACACACACACACACACACCCCACAGCACTGTTGACAGCTCTGGACTTACCATCTGTAATATTGCCATTTTGCTTCTGTTCTTTTCAATGTTTTACTTAAACTTACGTGTTTCTAAGTAACTTGAAAGTTTTAATCCATTTTGTCTTATATTTCCTTATTAATGGGTTTTGAAAACTATGGTACCCTTTCTTCTTTTCTTTAAAAAACTTTTGGGGTGCCTGGGTGGCCCAGTCGGTTAAGCGTCAGACTTCGGCTCAGGTCATGATCTCACAGTTCATGGGTTTGAGCCCCGCATCAGGTTCTGTGCTGACAGCTCAGAGCCTGGAGCCTGTTTCAGATTCTGTGTCTCCCTCTCTCTCTGACCCTCTCCTGCTCACGCTCTCTCTCTCTCTCTGTCAGAAATAAATAAAACATTAAAAAAAATTTTTTTAAATAAAATAAAAAACTTTTGAAAAAATTTAAACTCCCAGAATAAGTTACAGGAATTGTGCAATGAACTTCCGTATAACTTTTACTTAGATTTACCAATTTGCATGCTCTTATTCTCCTCCTAGACACACACACATGCACATAATATCATAAATTATGATTATTGCACAACTATTTGAGAGTAAGTTACAAACTCTCTGACCCTCATTCCTCAATACGTCAGCATGTATCTCCTAAGGACGAGGGCATTCTCTCACAGAACTCCACAGTGTAATTACCAAAGAGGGATTTTAATAACGATTTTACTAATACACAGTTCATGTTCCAGTTTCTAATTGCCCCAGTAGTGTTTCTTTATAGCACTTTTTTTTCAGTCCAACACTTAAAAAAATTACTCATCACATTTGCATGTCTTCTCTCTGGTCACATTTAATTTTAAAGGATTTCTTGACCTTCCTTTGTCTTTTATCATATTGATGGGGTTTTTTAAGAGGGTAGACAAGTTGTTTTGTGAAATATTCCTCCATCTGGGCTCCTTTTTAGGATTTGGGTAATGCATGTTTGATGTTATATTCTTTTCAATGCACTGCATCATGACGTCCATTCATCCCATTGTGGGTGATACTAATTTCAATCATTCGATGAAGGTGATGTCCATCAAGTTTCTTTGGGGAAGTTAGAATTTTCTAATTCCAGTTAATAAATACTTTGTGGGGAGATAACCTGAGACCTCGTAAATGTCTTGTTCCTCATCATACTTTTACCTGATGGTTTTAGATTCTCTTAATGATTGTTGCCTAAATCATTTTTTATGGTGATAGGTACAAAATGATGATAGTTGAGGCACCTGGGTGGCTCAGTTAGTTGAGCAGCCCACTCCTGATTTTGGCTCAGGCCATGATCTCACAGTTTGTGAGATTGAGCCCCATGTCACACTCTGCACTGACAGCGTGGTGAAGCCTACTTGGGACTCTCTCTCTCTGCCCCTCCCCCACTTGCACACGCATGCTCTCTCTCAAAATAAACTAAAATAAAAAAGTTGATCATTATCTTGGAATAAACTTTACAAAAGGTGTGTGTGTGTTTGTTTTTTAAATAAGATAGACGCTCTAGGTCAAATTATAATCTGAGTCCTTTTGTTTCCATTGAATCATTTGTATTTTTGTGCTTGAAAATGTGTTATTTTTGAGATACAAATGCTTGCTGGTAGTTTTGTAAGCCCTGGAGGATGACCTGGCAAACCAGTTGGTTGTGTCTGGTTAGTGTCCGCAAAATATCTGCCAACCTAAATATCCTTCTGAGTCAGCAGTGTTGTTTTATGGGCAGAAGTTTTCTTCTGCTTTATATTCAAAAGGCAAGAGAACTCAGTGGACAAAAGTGGGCAAATCCTACAGCAGCCCTGCCCTTGAAGCAGAGGCCTCAATGACAGAAGGCAACGTGGGGGCTCGCGGTGGGGGGTGGGGGGGCGGTCCAGTGATTGGCCCTTGCGGCTCCTGTTGTCCAGACCCTCCGCACAGCTTTCTTCCTCCCTTCTGCCCCAGTTAAAACCTACGGTATCAGGTGTTAATTTTAATGTAAATACCTGATTTCAAAAAAAACACATCACCTCTCACAGTGGTGTTTACCATTTAACAGGGTTTACAATCTTGAGTTACAGGAATACAGCTCTAACCAGAAGAGAACAAGGAGGTGGATCTTTTGGGGGAGACAAGCAGTGAGAATACATCTGACATCACTGCACCAGCAGACACTGCCAAACGGGGCCACTGAGGCTGTATTTGGTCTGTGGGTGTGTGCATCCTGCATGATGGGAGGATGGACGGACAGATGGATGGATGGATGGATACATGAATGGGTGGATGAGTGGGTGGATGGATGGATGGATTGACGGACAGACAGACGGGAAGAAATATACACACATACATAGGACAGACCTGCCTTCACCAGTTTCAGAGTTCATTCATCCTTATTTTCTTACAGTCTAACTGGTCTCTCTATACTCTTTCACTGAAAATATATTTTAAAAAAGGCCAAGGGAGCTTTCATTTGAACCTCCTCTATTTATATCCATCTACACTGCCTATTGATGAGACTGTCTGCTTTGTGACACCAATCTTAGATTTGCATCGACGGCCTAAAAAGCTTGAACGATGAGTTTTGATACTCATCAGTTAATCTCAAGAATATCTAGAGAGCAAGAGTTTTTTTGCTGGAAAATTCTTTATAACCATATCTACTGGGAATGCATGTAGCTACAAATAACAGAAAACATGACATAAAACAGCATTAAAAAAAATACAGTGTTCATTTGATACATCCTTGTTCCGGGGCGGGGGGGTCCTAGGGCTGGTGCTGTGGCTCAACTCCGCCTTCCCCAACCCAGGTTGTATTGTCTGTTCTTGTTGTTGGCCTCCTGGCATTCCAGTGGCCACCGTGCCTTCCAGGTGGGGGGCAGACACAGGGTGAAGAAGGTAAAAGGGCAAAAAGCCACAGGCACGCCATTTAAAAAGCTTTCCTAGAAACCCTGTCCCTCACATTGCAGTTTGTGTCACTCATTCCTTCACGCAGCAGCTGTTCTCTGAGCACCGGCTTTGTGTGCAGGGCCCTGTTTGGGGCGCCAGGATGTGTGAGGAGCCAACATGAGCTGCACGTAGGGAGATGGAGTAAATCATTTGTATGCTTTAGATGGTGCAATGGAGAAAAATAAAGCAAAGAAAGTGAGCCCAGAATTGGGTCACGTGGCCACCATTGCCATAGGAGAGTTTGGAGACATGCATGTTTTGTTTTTGTTTTTGTTTTTTACATTTTATTTATTTATTTGAGAGACAGAGCACAAGCAGGGGAGGGGCAGAGAGAGAGGGCATCAAAGCAGGCTCCAGGCTCTGAGCCATCAGCACAGAGCCCAACACGGGCCTCCATCCCACGAACATGAGATCATGACCTGAGCTGAAGTTCGGCGCCCAACCAACTGAGCTACCCAAGCGCCCCAACATGCATGTTTTTTGCTGACTGCCTTATAGCCCTGAACAAAATGGG